TCTCTACAAAGGATCGAACAGCACCAGAAACGGCGTCGGTATAGTGGTGGTTTTGGAAGCACTTAGAAATAAAATCACTGGCGTGGACCGAATAAATGGTCGACTTATGTGCATCAGAGTGGATACCGGCAAGAGAATCCTCCGAATCATAACCGTCTATGCACCTCAAGTGGGTTGCACACAGATGGAGAAAGATGAATTCTGGAATCAACTTGACGATTACATAAGCTTGATACCAGATGACGAAATTCTACTGATTGGTGCTGATCTAAACGGTCACGTCGGGGAACAACGTTGCGATGCAAGCAAATGTCACGGAAATCACGGATACGGATCACGCAACGAAGAAGGAAAGCGTATCCTGGAGTTCGCCACGGCACATGACTTGGCGCTAGCAAACACATACTTCATCAAGAAGCCTAGCACCTCATCACGTACGCCAGCGGAGAATAGAAATCACAAATAGACTACTGGGTTGTACGACAAGGCGAGCTCAAGTATGTGAAGAACAGCAAAGTCATACCCGGTGAAGACTGCATACCACAACATCGACCACTGATTCTGGATCAATATTCCAGTCGACAGGCAAAGAAGGTCGACGACAAAGCAAGTAGCACGCATCAAACGGTGGAAGCTCAGAGACAATGATGAAGTTAGAGCAGCCATGGAATCCGCCCTACCACAACGTCCATCGGATTGCGACCGATCTACTTGGACGCACGAAACCAGCAAGAACAAAACTTGATAAGGAAACCTGGTGGTGGAATGATGACGTGCAGTTCGTAATCAAGAAAAAGAAGACAGCCTTCAGAATATGGCAGAAAGCAAAATCAGAAGAAGCGCGGCAGACATATGTAGACGCCAAACGAGCAGCGAAACGGAATGTCAAACAAGAATCTTACGAGGAGGAGCTGTACAGGAAGCTGCACAGTTACGGAGGTGAACGAGATCTACAGGCTAGCAAGAAGAAGAGCAAACGCCTCAAAAGACGTGGAGCACTTCTGAAATATCAAAGATGTAGACGGAAGAGTGCTGAGGAAACCTGAAGAGATGAGCAAGAGATGGAGAGCTTCGCAGAAACGGCATCTACAAGCTACGAATACTCATCAACTGCAGCGGCTGAAGCTGTACATGGACCAGTACCGGCCATCACGGGAGATGAAGTGCGAATCGCCATAACGAAAACAAAGAGCGGCAAGGCAACAGGTCCAGACGACATCCCGACGAGTTCTGGAAGAAGTGCGGACAATCAGGAGTTACGTGGCTAACACGACTGCTGAATCGAGTAGTAGACTCCAGAAAGATGCCTGGTGTAGGAGTACGACGATCCCGATATGGAAGAATGAAGGCGATATAGCTGACTGTTCTACATACCGGCCTATACGACTGATGAGCCACACGTTGAAGATATTCGAAAGGATACTAGAGACGAGGCTCCGAAACATCGTAGAACTGGCATCCAATCAATGTGGATTCATGAAAATTGCAGCACATCAGACGCTATCCACATCGCCAGAATAATGATGGAGAGAAGCAGGGAAAGACAATGTGAGCTGCACACAGCGTTCCTCGATCTGGAGAAGGCGTTCGACAAGGTGCCGCACGACATCATATGGTGGTCGTTACCAAAGCATATGGTCCCAGAAAAGTACGTGCAGTGGACTCAGATGATCTACAAGAATGCAACCAGCTACGTACAGTCAGCAGCAGGAAGATCAAAGGAATTCCAGATAAGAGCAGGTGTGCATCAAGGATCTGTACTGTAGCCACTACTCTTCATCACAGTCATGGATGCGATAACCAGTAGATTCATACGTCAACCACCATGGGCTGTGATATATGGAGATGACGTGATTCTGATGGCACGAAGCAGGAAAGAGCTAGGAGTCGATGTACAGATGTGGAAGACTCAGTTGGAACAGCTTGGCTTACGACTCAACAGTAAAGACGGAGTACATGGAGCTTGGAGCCCAGACCCCTGGAACCATCCGAATCGGCAACACGACGATCAAGAAGACTACCACGTTCAGATATCTAGGAAGTCGAATCACAGCAAATGGAAGCCTCCACGAAAAGATACTTGGTAGAATCAACGCGGCTTGGTCAAAGTGGAGAAGCCTCACAGGAGTCCTATGCGACAGAAGAATACCTCGGAAGCTCAAGTCCCAGATATCCTCTATGGTAGCGAATGCTGGCCGAGCACGCGAAACGACGAACGAAGACTCGGTGTAATGGAGACGAGAATGCTGCGATGGTCCACTGGAGTCACCATGCTAGATCATGTCTCGAACGACACCATCAGAAGTACAATGAAGGTTGCTCCGATTATCAAGAAGCTACAAGAGAAGGGCCTACGATGGTATGGACTTGAATTAGAAGAGAAGAAAGCCATATGACAAGACTTGCCATGTCGCTGAATGTTCCCGGGGAGAGGCCAAGAGGCAGACCTAGAATGAGATGGATGGACAAGATCAAATCAGACCTAAGTGAGCTTGGCTTAGATGAAAACCAAACATCGAACCGAGAAGAATGGAAGAGACTAACAAGAGTAGCAGATCCCGTGTGAACGGGAAGATGAAAGGATAAAAAAAGCTGGAAAAAAAGTTGAATGATAGCCACAGAAGCGGAAAAAAATGATGCTCAGATGATTATGATAGTGGCCATACTCCATACTCCATATTTTTCGACGACAAGGCACATAAAACAATTTTCGTAGCTTTAATTTTGTAGATTTGTAATAGCAGCTATGTATGTGTTGAGTGTAGAATTGAGCTCGCCGATTACGGCCTTTGTTTTTTTTCTCAATTTTACCCAAAAAGTACAGTATGTGTAATGAATCTTTGCGTGCTCCATCGCATGGTAAAGATTGAGAGATTCAGAGGCTTTCTGGGCCAATGTTTGTGGCGTTTAAATGCTCTCAGAGTTTGGCGACAAACTTTACATGAGTCACGATTTATGTCACGGTTCGGTGACCGTTTCAACCTGCTCTCGTCTAGTAATGGGTAATCTGAGACATTATGGAGCTTGCCTAATTGTGATGATTCCATGTTTTCGCATTTAATACAGTGGGTCATATCAGAAGTAATTCCTCCCTTGTAAAGCGTCACATCTCGAAAAAAGCAAAGAATCGTGGAAGACTCTGGTCGCATTCGATGTTGCATTTTCTTTCAAAGTTTTATGTCTTTACTGCACTTAAGCCAACGAGCTCTTAAAAGATTACCAAAGACCATCATTCATAATTCTGTTATGGTCATTACTGAATCCTGTGATTTTCTCAATTGCTCTAAAGCACGTTTCCTAATAAATGGATAGTTTGCCGTGGATGAATTCGAAATTTAAAAATTTCGAATAAACAAGGACCAAACAAAATTTAAAAACCAGAGTTTTCAAATGAACGAATATCGAATATCCAAAAACTGAATGTTGAATTTCGAATAAATATTCGTATGATTTATTCGGATATCTAAAACAGCCATATCTGAAATATGTTGGCAATCCGGCTTGGACGGTGTGGCTTTGCACCGAAATCGAATAATTCGAATACGCACCCGAACAAAACATTAGAACAAAATTGGTTCGAAAACTCGATTTCCAATAAACCAAGTTTTCGTTTTATTCAAAACCTTGTTTTTGTTATTCGATTTTTCACTTTTATTCGAAAATGGAAAAATTCGAGTTTTAAATTTCGAGAATATATTCGAATGTTTCATGCGAAAAATCAAACTTTTATTCGATTTAGACCAAATCTTATTGGCTAAATAACTGTACTGTCTTTTTCTTTCTAATTCTGGAACCTTTGATGCTTAATTATTGATCATACTATATCTGAAAAATTTATTGCTGTAAAAATATGATTCTTACGGTATCGGATGGCAACTTCGGATTAGTTTAACATTTTTGTAAAGTTGATCAGCTGGAGACTTGAAAGAACAGCATTCTATTTGCCCTCCCGCAGGTTATTTGATGTTCAGTATAAGCTAAAAGCATTTTAATTTTAGGTAGATCCAGCAGAAGTAGCGCTGAACAGTCAGAAACTTCAACAACAGCAAATTTTTGCATAAAAAACTAAAAATATTAGATTGTAACAGAATTAATGCAGGTTCACACCTATTTTTCAAGATACTAGTTCAAAATAAATTTCCATTGTCTTAGATAACTATGCACATCATCTGAAAGCACTCTCCTTCTAGTTTCTTGAGCATGTTTTCGTTCCAAGAGGAGTGGATTTATCTCGGAATTACGTGCTTTTGAAATCAAGAGGCTAAATTCTAGAATTTCTCTTTATAAACTTTCTGCTCTAAATTCACCGCAGGGAACCTAATTTGAAAAAGAACTGGCATAATGTTTGCATGTGATCTGTGGTACAAAATGCACATTGAAACAGATTATTCGAAAGCTTCCAGACTGAAAAATTTCAATTCAAATTCAAGCAACAATGCTATCATTCTGCGGCGTATAACCTAAGCGTAAAGCAGTAGCAGAGCTTTTGCCGTGTGCAGATACAATAGTCATAAGACATTTGATAGCAAAGAACCGGACTGTTAATTTTTTTGACAAGAAATCCAAAGAATAGCAAAACACGCCTTTTCGCCTTTTCAGAGCAATTGATAAGAATGGCTAATCGCAAATTTTTTGCGGTATATTCTAGCTGAAATTTTTTCGCAAAATCCAAGTTCGACGCTGCTGCACAACCGGCTGTTTCTATCATCCTAATAGATTGTCTAAGAAATTGTGGTCTCTAATAACAAAATTTTTCCAGGAAAATCTTTGGCAGTCTTCGAGCTATGGAATTTTTCTCAGTGAAGCTACAACAACATGGCAGAGTGTAACAAATTGCCAAATGTTTGCTGATTGCCGTAGTTTTTATTGGAAACGGATTGGCTATCTTTGTGAAAATCTATAAGTAGTCCAAGCTTAAAATTTGAAAAACCTGCATTGATTCTGTTACAACCTAGTAATTCACTTTCTCTTCCGATAACTCATATCCTTCTTGCACTCTAATGATAAAACGAGAAGCCCGCTTCATGTACGTCAACCGTGGATTCGCAGGCAGGCACCACGACTCATTCATAGGCAGCATTCGCAAGCAGCTGCCGAGTTCGACGAAGGCCGTGCTTGCCCAGGAAGACGTCAGGAAGAGGAGGTTCAACAGGCCAAAGCTCGACGAGTCGTCGACCAGGCGTACGGAGCGCTGAAGCAGCGTTTCTGCATACTGTACAACATCACCCGCATTCAGCCTCCGAAGCTCCAGAAGGTAGTGAAGGCCTGCGTCATTCTCTACAACGTCGGCATCTACCTGGGAAGCACAGAGGACAGCCCCTGTCGCCCGTTCGCCGCGGTTGGATGACCCATCCCCCGGACAACGAGCACGTCCGCGAATTCGTCACCGAAAACTTGTAAAGGTTGGTCGTCGTTGCGATGGAGGGGATGGCGGCTCCTGACGTCTGTATTAGCAAGCTCGGAAATAATGTGGACTCCACATCGAGAGACGCCTGCGCGCGGCAGTCACTCTGCAGTTGAAGCCAAAGCAATTATACCTAACATGTCCGCAGTGTGCTGCAAAAGACAACAACAACATGCAACAGCAACATGTTGCTGGATGCGACAAGCTGTACATGTTTTTGGTAGTTGATTAGCATATGATGCATGTGCAACAAATTGTATGTCGCATCTGCATGTTGCTGCAGCAACTAAATAGAGCTGCAACATGCAACATACGTGTTGCTGCAACCATGTTGCTTGTGGCAGCAAGTTGTTGCTGCAGCAAAAAGCAACAGTCCTGTTGCAGTAACCATGTTGCGTATGTTGCAACGATGTTGCATGAACATGTTGCAGTTTGCTCAGCAATCATATAGTGCTGCAGTAATCTTGTTGCTGCAACCATGTTGAGTTTTTACAGCAGGCAACAAGGTTTTAGCAGCATGCAATAATGTTGTTTTGCTTACTTTTGTTTCGCGTAATGCTTGAAGCTAGCATGTTATTGCATGTTGCACCAAGGTCTTAGCTCTAGCGCTTCTTCTTATAGTTTTGCTTTTTGTAGATAAGGGATGACCGTAACCACGTCCACTCTCTGCTGCTATGACTCCCCTTTACGTTTCTTCGTGACAACGATGTCTTGCAGGTGATGGGTCGATCGCAGCGACCTTGATGGTTTACCTTTGTCATTTTCCTCTAATGACTGCTTAATCGGTAGCAGAGGCGTTCACAATAATCTCGGTCAAATAAGGACTTTCGTTCTTTCCAAAATTTCTATTATTCATAGTTTTTGAAACTTCTATTATACTTGGCACTAGATTTCCACTTTCGAGTTCCACTGATAAACTCGTGTGTTTAATTTGGCTGTTTGTTTTTTTGTGCTTGTTTGCTTCAATGCCGACCTAATAGTTGCTGCTCTTTTGCTTGCATCCAGATTGGATTTGTATACTCTGATGTCGAAATGTGTTGTGGCGACTTGAGGCTTATGGTATAGCCTAATGTGTACAGGGCGTATGGCAGGCCCTTTCTAGTACAATAAGAAAGTGGTTCAGTGGTTATGTTTATCAGGATATTGACAAGGTGCTCGGGAGAGCGCAAAACGAAGGGTGCGGGGCTACGCGCCACGCCCCTAATGCAAGAAAGGGGGCCGCCATCGGCAGGGGTTCTGGCGTGGCCAGAAGTGGTGGCTGTAGGCTTTATTGTAGCCTTGGGCGAATGGGTGGCGCTTGTAGTGGAGTATAGCGGCTCCTGATGTGTTATTAGAACACGTAAGCTGTTAGAGCTTTATTGAACAAACGACATGCACCCATTCGTGCAGTGGTAGAATGCTGAGGATTGAAGGCGTGAAGTGGTATCAGAAACATCTGAGCAATAATACACTCATATCACAGCAGGTCATGCTTATGGCATGACCTTTACGGTGCTTAGCAGGAGTAATGATAAGGTTGTAAGGAAGGTGCCGACAAGTCGGCACATGTGTCATAGAGAGTGTCTGTTGATAAATTCGCCAAATAAAATATTCTATTCAGCCTAACCACGCCTCACGTCCGCTATGAATCGCTCTAGATGGACATATCTTCCTGAAGTCGTGTAGTCCAGTTTACAAGCACGAACTAGATTTATTGTTCGCGATATCAGAGGTAACAGCTCTTTGCTAATCGATGTTGTTGTCAACCAAATTGTCAATTCTAGCAAGTATGTTGACTGAAGCACATCCATAAATACCAGTATACAACACACTCTTTATATGCTGCTATGTATGTGGGACTGCAAACAAATGATATCATAGAATATTTCGAAAGGCTCAGCAAAAGCGCATTAGCAAAGAGCAGTCACAGAGGCTTAATAGCCCTCACGGCCCTGCAGATATCTTTTTTCACCATTATATTTACGATACTTATGTGGCATTGTCTGGGTTGCCTTTGCAGATGTGCACATTAAGTTACGAAAAGGTGGAACTTGTTTTAAAACAACAACCGATAGCCAATCTCAGCCGTTAAAGATGCTCAAGATCACTTTAGTAGCAGCTTACGAACAATAGAAATATGAGGAGGTGAGCACATTTCAATGCTTGGTTTTTATTGTGTTACTTTTATTTCCTCTTCGATCATGAGGCATGCGCAGCGTTAGTTGCGATATGCTAGCGGCCGTGTCCTAGCGCGGTATTGTGTTGGAGTCCGCGTGCGCTCTCCGTATTCACGCTCGACTTCTGGGCGCTAGCATAGGGCTGGCACAGCCACTGTGGACGCAACAGCTAAGCGAGTGAGCGATAAGCTAGCGAGCGATAAGGTTTCCCTCTCTATCATTATTTTCTGTATCATTATTTCATTCAGGTGAAGAGTGAAGCTTTGTGAAGAGTTTTTTGCGTTGTTAAAGGTCATATTCTATTTCTAATTTTACACTAGATTAAAAAGAACCGTTAATTTCAGACTCGAAACTCGCACTCCACCGCCGCTCTTTTCTCACAAGTTATGCCATATGAGCCTTAGCAACCTATCTGATAATGGTCAAGAAGTTGATTACGCCACTTCTTCATTCCCACATAACCCTTTGCGAACGCGCAAAAAGTTATTTAATGAAATCAGCATGCATAAATTTCTTGTTAGACAATTTTCCAGATTTTTTTGAAAAATTTTTTTCAACGGCCCATCTGCTGCCAGGGCCCGGCACGAGTTGGTTCCTAGGGTTTCTGAAAACGAATTCTCCCCTGACTTTCGGAAGTTTTACGAAATCACCTTTGACCTACCTGCTTGGAAGAAGATGAAAACAAGAGATATTTACTAGTCTGAAAGAAAAGACGTATGATAAGAGTGAAAATCCAAGTTGGAGCTGAATACTACGCATGCACAAGACTTTGGCATTAGAGCGCGATATTTAACAAAGCGAGAAGAAATGAAGGCAAAAAACGAAGGAAAGGCAATGATATGAAAATGTCTTCATGCTCAGGGATAGATTTATGACCGGGGAGTCCGTCCATGCAAAAAAGATTCGAAACTTATGTGAAGTGAAGAAAATATGCTCCAGACGATCTCAGATCGTCTGGTGGCCGTCTGGAGACAATCTAATTTTGGAAAAGGTATTACTTCACGTAAGTTCATAATCTTTTTTACACAGTACTTTCGAAAATAATTTTATTTACATACAGTTCGATTTTGGTGCCATATGCTTCAGTGTGCGCTGTAAACAAGCAATTTGCTTACTTTAGCCTTGCTTTCAAATCGCGCGCACTTTTCGCCATGCAGGATAGAGCATGTCAATTGTGTGATAACCTGTCCGAAAAGCTTGTGTTCGACTAAATGGCGCTTATTCTTGGGTGCTCGGTCCCAACTCGTCAAAAACGATATCCCCTTTGCTGTTTGCTTCAAAAACGAAGTTCAGCCTGCTTCCGGACGATCTGTGCCGGGCCCTGTCTGCGGCACCAAAAGCTGCGAGTCTCTACCGTAATCTTACAGTAATGAAGAGAGAAGGGTGATTCGCTCTACGCCGCAAATCTAAGTTGAAGCCAGCTCTACAAAACGGTATCTAAGTCTCTTCTAAAAACTTTATGACAAGAGAGTTATTAAGAATCAAACAGTAAGCACATCTTTTGGGACACTCTGTATTTGTTCAAAAAAATCCATAGACTTCTAGCTTGCTCAGCTATACTTTCCGTATCGGCATTATGTATATTTAAGTGTTTATCTCATTTTCTAAAATCGAAAAACACAAAGACATCAAAGCAGGTGAACAAATGGTAATGGCTTACCCAAAATTGTTATTGAAAAAAATTATGAGGTCACCCAAAAGAAGGTAAAATCAAAATATGAATTGTCAGCATCCACATTGAAAAAGTTGTTATATGGAAAGCGATAGAATTGTAAATATCTTATATCAAATGATTTATCTCTGTCACGGTGTACTACCACGATTATATCTAATTTGAGAAATGTTTTGGAGATGGAATAAATTGATGAATTCTTTTCAGAAATCAGATCCTTCTTGATTTGAGCGAGTTGAAATTTGGCGCTACAAAAAGTTGATTTTGATCTATTAATAAGTCGCTCTTAGGCAGAGTTGTTCTGAAGCAGCATTTTATTTGCAATTTTTTCAAGAATGGCATATCAGGTTGTCCCATAAGTTCCGTCGTTTTAACTTACAATCACAATTCATGAACTTCTAAATTCTAGATAGGTTTCGAGGAACTGTTTGATAGAGCAAAGCAAGCTTTGCATAATGACGTTCTTACTCGTGCACCAAATCCAATGCATCTCGAGTTTGAAGCCAAAAACCACAAAGATTTAACTGTCCGTAAAATGAAGAAAAAAGTGTAGCTCCTTTTAAGGAATTTCTAAAAAGTTCCTACTTGCTCACAAATACGCTATCCACATCAGACATTTATTAGGTTGACCGAAGTTTTACGCCCCATTTTCAAAAATTCATAACTTCTGACTTTTTCAACCGATTTGACTGCTTTTATTTTTGTATGAAAGAGTAAGTCATGCTCCGTCATTTTGGCGAAAACATGAAAATTTTCGTTTTCTTGGTTTTTATTCAAGGAAAAAATGCAGCAACAGTATACGTAAATGTCTGAGGTGGATAGTGTGTCTATGAGCAAGCTAGAAATTTTCTAGAATTTTCTAAATGAGTTACGATTTTTTCTTACTTTTCGAGCGGTTGGATCTTTTTAGTCATAAACTTCTTGATTATACATGTTATTTTGTATTATTATATATGCAAGAATATTATCTTGTAGAGCTTGCACTGCTCTATCGAATGGTATTAGGTTGTCCGGAAATTAATGTCCGTTTTGAATTTCAACCGCAATAAGTCATACACTTTTCATTCCTGCATAGCTTTCAAGGTACCTTCCTATAGAGCAAAGCAAGCTCTACA